GATCAAATCGGTTGCTGCTGGTTATCTGAAACTCGTAGCTTTCTAATGACCAATCCGCAATTCATGCGTAGGCGTGAGCCCGACCCAGGGCACCATGTGTTCAAATCATTCACTCATGTTTATCACAAGCTAGGGTCTGACCACCCTCACACACAAGCGCCTTCCTAAAGAAGCTCCTTTCTCACTTCAAGCATTTTTTATAATGATATCATCACATGACACTAGTCCGAAGTCACACCAATCCCGTAGCTAGGTGTGTTTGTTGAAACACAGCGTTGTTGGAAGTGATACTCAATCAATCAACTTCAAACAATGTATATGGAGTGTTCCGAGTCACGGCCTATCTCTAGATCTACACTCTAGCCTAGTAGGCTCAGTGGACCGTCACCTAGTAAGTCCGAAAATCTCACTCTATACCATACATCGACGGCCATTATCGAACCTACACAATATCGACGCTTATCGCCAAGTCATTCGGGTGTAACGCTCTAACCCGCGCGCATTTCACCGTGTAACCGTAATTCTAGTTACAGTCGAATTACCGTCGACGTCGTGATCGTAAAACCCTAGAATCATCCAGAGATTCGGTCCGTGAATGCCCGTATCTCAACAGAGACCCCAAATCGATCCGAACCATAATCACAGCAGTTCGGTTGATCGAAATCACCAGATTTCAACCAGGCTTGCGCAGGGGGCTAGGTGCTGGCTGGCTGGGTGGGAGCGAGAGCAGCACCGTAGGATGGTCGGCGTCGGTCATCGCACGGTGGCGAGCTGAGACGAGCTGTGCTGCGGCCGCGTGGCGGTCCATTCTGATTCGCGATCATCGGACGGTCGGCGGTACCGGCCAACTCATGAACCGAGCACGATTCGAAGTGAAGTACGCAGGGCGGTCGATCGAGGGTGTGGGCTTGCATCGACGGTGCAGAGCGCGACAGCCTGCAACGTGATCGACGGCAACGGGCGGAAAATGCTTGGTCCCGCTCGCTCGAGCAATTTCAACTTTCAGGAAGTCAACGCAGAGGTGGAAGTAGGTAGGATGCAGACTGCAGAGCTTAGAGTGTCGACTGGCGGGACTGCAAATCACCCAGGTTGTGTACCTAGCAACTTTCATGAACTAGCTTGAAGCACACTCCTCATTTCTACACTCCTCCTCTGCATTCCATTGTTTCCCATACACACCTTGCAGCTCTGCCTTGCAATTGTAGCCACAATGTCCAAAAGGGCCGAGTTTGGCGTGCAGGGCACCTACCACATCGAGTTGAGGCAAGAGATCATAGCAAATGGGAGCACGCGGTTCTGCCTTTGCGGCCATTGCGCCAAGAACCTCATAGAAGAGAGGATGGCATTCGAGTGGTTGGCGGACATGCCGCCGCTTGAAGACCCCGAAGAGGAGGATAAGGCGCTCGATGCCATATTATAGTAGCGGTGTTCTTGACACGTAGGGTGAGCTTTGTATGCTTTTATGAGGTGCATTTAGTTGGACGAGCTTCAAGAAAAGTGCAAACCTTGCAATGTTGTCTTCTCCATTGTTTCGATTGCTTTCTATGCAAAAAACCGGAATATGCTGGTTAGGAGTAATCACAATCTGTTTCTGGTTAGACAGCTGGTTAATCTGCTGGTTAGGCTGCAGCTGTGCTGGGTTACCAGCTGGGAATCTGGTTATGCTGCAGCTGGTTAGTGCTGGTGGCTGCTGGTTAGGGTAACCATCAAATTGTTCGGCCAAATTGTTGCATTCATATGGCTAACTTTGGCTGCACAGAAGGTTGTGCTTGTTTCGATGCACAACCATTGACTAATGCAATGGTTGCCGCGCAATGCAGGTAGGGAGTGTACAAGATTGCTCGTTAGTTCGTGGGGCTGTCGCTCGTGTTTTAGCTGTCGTTCAAGCTGCGCTGGAGAGGCGTCGCTGCATAGAGCTGGAGTTGGCTGCTGTGAAGCTGACTGCGTCGCTGTGGATCTTGGCTGCGCCGCACCATGTGAGCTTGCATGATTCTCTTTCGTGTGCATTCCTGCAATCGACCTGCAAGCTTGCTGAAACTGTGGTGCAGTCCTACAGAGCTACATTGTGGTGCTTGCGGCCTGGTCCCCATACTTGTTAGCGCTCTACTAGCTGACACACTAGCTGCTTTTGTGTGTGGCGCTGGCGCTGGATCTAAAAGTTGCTAATTATACTGATGCTAGCTTTGTTTCAAATGCACATGCCTCCGATGCCATCAAGTGAAGTGAATATTCTGTCGATTGCAGGCAGACGTGCACAGAGCTTCTTGTCAGTGAGCGGGATGTAGCTCGTGTCGATGTGGATTTGTCGAGTTCAAGCTGCGCTGTTGTGGAGCTGACGTGCTGCAGCGAGGTGGATGTGGCGGGAGCTGTCGTTGCACTTGCGATTGAAATGTCGCTAGTGGAGCTTTCTTTGGTGAGATGGTGGATGTGAACGACGCTCTGTTCTAGAATCTGTGCGCATGTTCCGACGTATCTCGTTGGCAGTGCATCGTATGCTAAGTGCTCTCGGCCTCTTTAATACAACATGTCTCCTGGTTGCTGTCTGCCATCCTAACCTGTGTCTTGCACCTGCACGTCTATCGTGCTCTTTGTTCTGGCTGTCACCTAGTGTCAATAAGTCTCGTTTTCAAATGCCTGCAGCAGACTCGAGCTGAAGGTGCATTTCGCTGTGCGGCTGCGCCTCATGTGAATTCACTTTGCTAAAAAATGTCTATCGATGAAACTTCAATAACATGCCCTTTCCGTGTTTTCAAAAAACCTGCTGACTCGCTGTGCTGTCTCCGTGTTGGAGCTGGAGCTGGAGCCGTTGGTGGCGCTGGCTGCTAGCGGAGTTGGAGCTGGTGCTGTGGGGTTGTGCTGTGGTGCTCGGTGTGCTAGATTGCATGTGCATTTCTGTAACTGTGCTCGATGTTCTCGACTGCACTGAACCTTGCCTTTTTTTTCAAAATTCTCCTCTTTTCTTTAATTGAAACTCTTGTGAATATTGACACATTGCTGTAGTGCATATTATACCTTTAGCGATTTGCAGCGGCCTGGTGTGTTCTAGTGTGTTTTCCTGTCACTACACACTGCATATGATACTTGAGTCTTGAGCTTGGGGCGAGCTGTAACCTTTATTTGTTTCCCCACAAGCCCTGTTTGCCAACCAAGAGACTACCATCTCCTGTTCGTTCCCCCAAAGACTGTGTCCGTGCCCCCGTGACTCCCCTCCTCGCAACCCCGCCGCTTGGTGTTCGTCACGACGGTAAGATCGAAAACACCTCTCTTTCAAATTGTTGATTCTGCACCTAGCTCGGCGACACGTGGACGGACAACCATTCAACATTTGCAGGCGTGCTGCTTGATAGTGCATCCTCTGTGTATTTTCGAAACTATCGATGCGGTGGTGCTCTTTGTTTTGTGCTTTATTTTGAGGGCGGATTTGGGGTGTGTCTTTATCAGGCTAGCAAACTACCAGGCTACCAGGCTAACAGGCTTTATCACGAGAGGGGAACTTGGAGACTCTTCGGCTCTTTTGAGATCCCATCAAATCGATAGAAAGCCTAAAGATTCCAACGAAGCCTTGTGGCATGGTGCTCCGTTCTTGACAGCAAGAGTGTACCCGGCAGTCGCTCCGGTATCAAACAAAGCAGCGCAAGCTGTGTTGGACTGGCAATCAATCTAAACAACCGTAAATGCTCGAAACCTTTTCTCGGTCCGGTGCTTTTGTAAGTTTTACTTAGCCCCTCTTTGACACTATTGTTTACTCCTCTTGCAGCCATGCCTGAGCGCGCGGAGCTCGTGGCCATGCTCCTCCGCCTGCAATGGCTCATCGAGTGCGGCAAGACGCTCCTCGTGCGCATCAACAACAACCTGACGCGCCGCAAGAAGGACGGCGCCCTCATGAAGCACAAGCAGAACTCCCGTAAGGGATCCGACCAGAAGGTCGCCGAGTTCCTGGGGTCACAGGGCGCTATCGTCGTTGGGGTGTGTGGAGGTGGTTGGAAACCAGTTGGCGATGCTGCTCCATGGGGCGGCTGGTGAGTACCGGGTACTGCAGTGGAACCTGCGGCAGGGGGGGGCGCTGGACTGGTTCGAGCACGCCGACGGCTCCTTTACCGAGTACCCCGCCAGCTACAAGCGGCGCACTGCTGTCGACTTCGAGTTCATCGGCCTGTGCCTCCCCGCCAAGTGGCTGGGCAAGGACATTCGGCTTGTGGAGGTCGACTGCACCGCGATCTCGAACCAGGCGGAGTGGGAGTTGCGCTCTCCCTTCTCCAACCCCGGAAAGGTGCCTTTCACCCCTGCCCCCGGATGATTCGCCCGCTATCGGGGGGTCCTCAACATGCTCATGGACCCAAACGGGTGTGTTGAGGCCGTCGTCGCGTGCGCGCTCGTCGTTGCCGATAAATTCCCCGACCGCCCCGTGCTTGTGTGGGTCGGGAGGGCCACCGTCTGGGAGGGCACCGGCTACAAGAGCAAGGGCGACTTGCTGCTGCGCTACCGGCGGGCGACGGGGCGGCATATGTGCGCGACCATGGCGCAGTTGGTCGCAGGCGGGCGGATCGCTGTCGTGTAGCTCTGTTGGGTCGCCCGGCTACCTGTTCCTATACGAGGAGGCGGCCTACGCCTATTGGTGAGATAATCCAGGTGCACAAAAGTGGTGCACGCATGCGATGCTTTCGGGTGATTCGTATGGTGTTCAAATTGTCTGCAAACTCTGAATGCGTCACCTGGCTAAGTTCCTTTGCATTCCTTCTCACCGCCAGTGCCTGCCTGCCTCGCCTTTGAGGGCGCGCAAAGTTTATTGTTGGTGACGTCGTCAAGCATGCAAATGCGACACCCTTTTGCCCTCCGTCATATGCGCTCGGTCATAACTGCTCCGCCTTTTTTTGATGCAGGTACGACTTATCCAAGTTCAACGACCCCAAGATTATGAAGTACGCGATCAACGTCCTCCTGGTCTTCCAAAAGAAGGGCCGCGTCCAGTGTTACAATAGTGAGCAACTCGCCGCTTTCCCTGTGCTCGTGTTTTGCGACAATCTCTGTGCTCGCACCTTTCTGTGTGCCCGTTTGAATACTTATGTGGCCTAATCCCCCAACGCTGCTTCATGCTTGTCGAGCGTACCTTTTGTTGATGTGGAAAAGCAAGGATAAATCACCCAATGAGGGCTTGCGCCGCAATGAGCGAGCGTTGTTTTCAAAACGCTTGTACTCCTTCCGAGCTATTCTTTGTCTTGCAGCCCGGCCGGTACCGTCACGACCAATTCTTTGGGCCCAAGGAGCTGCTCGACTCTCCCGAGTGGCGCTTCATCGTTGTGACCTTCGGGTGGGAGGCCAAGCCCGTTCTGGGGGTCCACGGCATCGACGGCTTCTGCGCTAAGGTCGGCGCCGGCTCGCTGGCTTGGCACCAACACATCGATGTCGTTCACATCACGCTGGCGAACCGCTCGGGCGACCTGCTCCGAGACCGGCGCGGCGAGGGCGGGGTGGTGATGAAGCTGCCCAAGGTCGCGGACCGGCCAGGCATCATAGCCGAGCACAACCAGGCGCGCCTGGAAGAGGCTGAAGAGGCGGCATCTTCTGGGGACGAGGCAGGCACGGGCACGTGCGGGTCGGATCGGGCGGAGGGGAGCGGGAGCGGAGCGAGCCACTCATTACCGGCAGCTGGCGGGAAGCGCAAGAGGAAGCACAAGAAGAGAAAAAACACGGCTAGAGAGGATTCAGGCGTCATACAGGAACGGCACGTGGTGGCACCGAGCCCTAGCGATAATGAGCGCACTCGAGACGGAGGGATTGAGTGGGATCCTACCGGATGGCAAGTTCGACATAGCGCTGTCGCACATGCAAAAGAGTTAGACATGCAATTGAGTGCCCTGTAAAAAAACACTTGTCTTGATCGTTTGAAGTCATTTTTCCATTGCCACGAATCCCACCTATGCCTTTGGGCGCGGTACTCTAATTTTGACGGCAGCGATGTACCCGGCAGTCGGTTAGACTCCAACACACACAGCGCAAGCTGTGTAAAGTGGTTCTACTGCTTCAAAAGGTAGATTTTTTGACATCTCTTTGATCACTGTATGCCGTTGAAGCCTTCGGGCATGGTGCTCCGTGTTTGACGGCAGGGATGTACCCGGCAGTCGCTCGGGTATCAATCAAAGTAGCGCAAGCTGTCTTGGCATCGATCTAGTGTTGAGATTAAGGAGTCTTTGGTCTTAATCTCTGCTAGAATTAAGGAGTCTTTGGTCTTAATTTCTGTTGAGATTAAGGAGTATTTGCCTTGATTACGCCCTAATATCCTATACCATTGTAGTGTGGTGGGTTCGTTGTGTGATGCATAGGTTTGGTCTTAATGAGGCCGAGATTAAGGTCTTAATGTGGATAAGATTAAGACCGGATAAGGCCGAGACTAAGGTCTTAATGCTTGCCAGATTAAGGACTTGATGTAAGCGAGATTGATCTTAATGTGCTTTAAGATTGACGTCCAAAGGTGGTTAAGATTAAGATCAATCGAGATTAAGACAACCAACGTAAAGAGCACGTAGATTAAGATCAGATTAAGTTCAGATCAAGATGAACGCATACGAGACGTCCGAGATTAAGGACAGATTAAGAGGGAGTCGTGTGGATCGTTCGATGGTAGTTGTTGGAGTAATTGAAGCTAGGCCGTCGATTTGAAGAAGGGACTATCTAGGCTAATTAAGGACTCCACATAAGCTAGAGTAGACCTAGCTACGTGATTGGACTTGACTTGGACTCTCGACTTGTGATGGATACTCATTCCTAGTAGTTGTGCACTTGAAAGGCGCTTCAAGACGCTTTCTTTCAACAGGTTATGGGCCCACGACGCTAGGGAGTGAGGGGAGAGTAGTAGGCCGTTGCTAGCAACAACAATTCTAGGTTGGTGAGAGGTATTCCAGTGGGGGCTAAAGGAGTGCAGTATTGCACTCTATCTCTCGACGCCTGTGAAAATACCCACAAACCGCTCTCGGCACAAAGGAGTGCCCAGCCCAAGAAGCTTTGTTTGGCTAGCGGTAAAGATGGCTGAAGGACTCAAGGTTCATACAGAGCCTCTAGACGTTGACAACTATACGGTGTGATCACAGAGGATGCAACTTCCGTTGACACACAAGAAGTTGTGGAAAGGGGTTACGGACCCGGAGGGTGATGCGGAGAGGACCGAGGAAGCAAAGGCTTTGATAGGTTTGCACGTCAGGCAACAACACCTAGGGGCAATCTTAGCAGCTGAGAATGCCAAGGTAGCTTGGGACGCGCTGGAAAAGACCTACAAGAGCAAGAGTGCGGCTCGAAAGTTGCAACTCCGGCATGAGATGAGCACCCTCAAGATGCAGCTCGGTGAGTCCGTTGCCGGGTATGTGGGAAGGGCACAGGACCTTTATCGAGATTTGCTAGCCGCCGGCTCCGATATGAAGCCGGAAGATCTCTCCTTCAGTGTGCTTGCCGGGTTGTCAAGCCGGTTTGAACAGGTGGTAACAGTGTTAACGACCACCAAGGAGGAGCTAGACAAGGTGGAGGAGCTTCTTCCAACGTTGCAAGTGTTTGAGCAAAGGCAAGGGCTGTTTGGGGAGCAAGACAGCGGGGCCTCGGGCTCGGCAACGGCGGTGGCCTACGCGGCCAAGGGTGCCAACTTTGCCGGTAAGGGCAAGGGTGGCTCGGGAAAGGCTTCCATGCCTTGCCACAAATGTGGAAAGTTGGGGCACTTTGCAAGAGAGTGCCGGTCCGGGGCTCGGGAGCCCGAGAAGCCCAAGACGGGGAAGAAGTGCTACACTTGCGGTAGCCCGGACCACTTGAAGAAGGATTGCCCAAAGAAGGAGGAAACCGGGGGCCGGCAAGGGATTGCCTTTGTAGCCGGGGAAGGGCCGGAGACCGGAAGGTGGATTGTCGACTCCGGGGCGAGCCAACACATGACGGGGATTAAGAACTC